ATAAAGCAAACTGTTAGTGTTAATCTAATCGATAAGGACAACATAAACTATTTTAAAACTAAAACCGAATCAATCTTTTCCCCCCGGTGCGGTTAGGTCGAATGTGTCACGGTCTGTTTTTTTACCGTTTTAACCTAACAAGCCAGAACCGCTAATACTTGTCTGGTTGGTTTCTGGCTAACTAAAGATAATAATAAAAAAAAAAAACTGAATGCCTGGTTGGTTTCTGGCTAACTAAAGATAAAAAAAAAAAACTGAATCCAATTAGCACCCTCTACATTTATCTATAGTGAATTCCTGGCACCGGTGAGGTCACGAGTGAGGTTTACCATCCATTTTCGGAAAGTGTGGATCTATATTTGGCAGGCTTTCCCTTAACCTGCACATAATTTACATGTCCTTTACAACTCCTTAAGCAACGCCCCAATAAAGCCCATGCATGCATCTTATTCTGAGAACTCAAATCTCTCCACCACCATTCACCTCTATATAAACATATGCATTAAACTGATCCCACCATCATCATCATCATCCAACTTACCACACACACATAAAATCAAAATACCCAATCCCACAGCTCACAAACCATGGCTACCACCAACACATCGTCTCACCATCTCCTCCTGTTCCTGGCAGCAACCTCCTCCATCATACTAATAATCTCTTCACTCTGCCATCACTCCCACGCCCAGAACGCGGCGCAGGACTACCTAAACGCCCACAACGCTGCTCGAGCACAGGTCTGTTACGCGTTATTTACGACTTACAACATTGTTGCATCGCGTATCAGGATCGGATGGTACGATTCATATAATAACGCGATTCTTTTTTTCAAACTCTCGTTTTTATAATTAGGTTGGTGTGGTCAACATCACTTGGGACGCGACGGTGGCTGCGTACGCACAAAGCTACGCCAACTCCAGGGTGTCGGACTGCAACCTGGTCCACTCCGGGGGCGCTTACGGGGAGAATCTGGCCAAAGGAAGCGGCTCCACATTCAGCGGGACCAGCGCCGTGAACCTTTGGGTGGCGGAGAAGCCCTACTACGACTACGCTTCCAACGCATGCACGGGAGGGAAGCAGTGTTTGCATTATACTCAGGTGGTTTGGAGGAACTCGGTGAGATTAGGGTGCGCCAGGGTGCAGTGCGCCAACGGCTGGTGGTTCGTCACTTGCAGCTACGATCCCCCGGGCAACTACGTCGGCCAGCGCCCTTACTAGCTCATCATCCTATATATTCATATTTTCACACCAACATTCATGAAGTATATGGTACACTATAATTATATGATTAATCATCGATCTCACCCAACCCTCAAGTAATATTATGTTTGCTATAGACGTACACCTTAATACTAATATATAGTAATACATAAACGATATAACATCATAATGCATGGTATCGTAACTATATATATACTTTCAAACAATATTGTATTTTGATTTTGTTTCCCATGGGATATACGGCGATGGTTGTAATGAGTTGCTCCATCAAGGAGGGTTTATAATAAATCGAAAGAAAGAATTTATAATTTGAGTATCACCTCATCAACATGCACTTGTTGTTTTATATATCAACAAAGTAGTTTCATGGCAATGCCTCGTAGTGGTGCTCCCTACAGTCGCGTTGTCTTGTGAGATGTGAAATCTCTTATTTGATATTCTGTGTGTTGGGAATTATGGTGGTGTTGTTTCTTGCTCTCGGAACACTCTCGATTCCAAACTCTCCATTGTCTTTCTTGATCATGGATAGTCTAGAAAACCCGAAATAAAGAGGGTTTTGAACTCAATCAACCACATACTCATTCTCTTGCTGCCAAATTTTGTTTAACCAATCCGAGGAGTTTTCGGCTACTTCCCTTTCTCCTCTGTCTCCTCCCCCTCCCCCTCTTTCATCTCCTCCCTCTTCTATGCCTTCTTGAAGATAAAATTGATATATTGTTGTTCTTGGTGTTGCTATTTACTCATCTGGTGTGGTGGAAGATTAGTGACTCGCACGTGCATGTTTTGCTGGTTGTTAGATCTCTGCGTCATGATTTCTAACAACCCTTTGTTGTGGAATGGCTAACTATCAGATATGTTCAAAATATTTGTGGTAGAGTTTGAGAATAAGTGCACTAATATAAAAATTAAAAGATACAGGAGTGATAGAGATAATGAGTATGACTATAATTCTTAAAGAATCCTATAACTCAGATGGTATCATTATTGATACTACTGCACCTTATTCTCCTAAAATGAATGGTAAGCCGAACGCAAAATATGACATTTACTAAACTGTTATGCTTAATTATGGCGCTGTTTGTTGTTAATGGGATGATATTTTTTTCATTGTTTGTTATGTACGTGCTTGTTTGTGCTCTAAAAATATTTGTAAAGAGTCACTCTACAAGATTTTGAAGAATAGACCACCTAATATTTTCTATTTTACAACGTAGGACTGTTTAGACTATGTGAGAATCCTTGATCCTAAAAGGATTAAGTTGGCTAGTAGAGCATATGAATGTGACTTTGTTGGTTATGCTACCAATAGTAAGGCATCTATATTCTATGATTTGAATTCTCATACTGTTGTGGAATCAAATGATGCCAATTTCGTTAAGACTAGATTTTTCATTTAAAACAAGAAATAGTGAGTGCAATATCTTGCCTGCTATTAGAGATAACAGAACTAGGGGGTAACGGATATGAGTTCGAACTCATACGTAGTTGAAGGCTAAATTCTCTAAGAATTTTAGTTAAGATTTTACTAAGTATGCACACTTGAAGATCCTACAAGTCTGCAAGAAATTCTTAACTTCAATAGATGCAGATTTAATTTGTGGGAAGAAACGGTTAATGAAGAAATGGATATTTTGAGTCAAATATGACTTGACATCTTTAGACTTACCTCCTAGTTTAAATCCATGGTAATAAATGGATTCTAAAAAGGTAAATGAAGCATAATGGTTCAGTTGATAAGTACAAAACTTGCCTAATAGTTAAAGGCTTTAGGAAGAGTGAAAATGTAGATTTATTTGATACATATTCACTAGTATTCGGATAACATCCATTCGGATTATGATTGCTCTTTTTTCCCTTGAACAATCTTCTTGTGCATCAATTGGATGTTAAGACTACTTTTTTGAATGATTATTACTTATTAAGATGAAGAAATCTACATGGAACAACTTGGCACAATCAACTATGGAATCATAAATGATAGTACTAGGCTAGTGAAGAAGTGAGTTGGTTGAAAGGATTATTGCCAGAGATTCCCTTATATAAATAAAAGACCAGTTTGCCTGTATTGATCCATTGTGATATATAGCACCATAACTATTTTCTAAAGTTGAGAACCGTTACTATAATGGTAAGAGACGACGAATTCGTCATAAGCATAGTACTGTAAGAGAGTTCCTAACTGCAGGAGCAGTGAGGGTGAATCATTTAAGATCATAAGACAATCTACCTAATCCTTTGATGAAATGATTTGTTAGAGAGAAATTCCAAAATACCTCCAAGGGTATGAGACATATGCTCGTAGAATGATGAATTACACATGATGGTAGCCCAACCCATAGACTAGAGATCCCAAGAAATTGGTTTAATGGATAATAAAAATTGTGTATTATTAGATAGATCATATGAAGCATGAATTCATAAAGCTTGTAGAGGTTAAGGTTATACTATCTCTTAATGAGATTTATGCTCCACGTGGAGTGAATCGCATTGCTTTGGGAGTACTTGTGTAGACTCACCTATGTGAAGGTCGCGCATGGTCATAAACGCACAAACTATTAGAGAATAACACTCAGAAAAGATTCGGCGTGCTACATTGTCAGAGAGAGAATTCAAGACTACGAGGGGCTACTTGTTGAATATGAAGTGTATGCAACCACTATGTTAAGGTTCAAATCAAAATATACATTAGTTTATGCCTAATCTTATGTTGACTTATGATGCTCCGAGATATTTTCAAAACTATTCAAGTGAGGAATTTTTTGAAATGATTAGCTTTTGAAAGCTATAGTGAAGTCACTACCACATTGGTGAGTGAAGCCTTGCAAAAGGTGAATAAAGATAGGATTTTATCTCCAAAGAGTGTTGTCCTTGAGGTTACCAACTTTTGTGGAAGATGGAGGAGCTAAATGACATTCAAACCACACACACACACATTTACATAGCAGAAACACGAAAGACTATGTTCTTCACAGACCTCTAGTTTTTTCACAAACCGAAAGATAGCGTGTGGTTGTTTAATCATGAGGTGACTAGTTGATAGTATGTTGTGCGCAATACGAGGCAATACCACAAAAATTTTAAAGAAAATGACCTAATCCGTGACTCAACCAGATTTTGTAACCTCAATTTTACTTTTTCCCTTTCTAATGGGAATGGGAGAAATTAACGTATTGGTCCGAAAAGAAGAATACCGACAAGGAATAATGTTGTACAATTGAACCATAACATAGTCAAATGGTCCAATCTAAAGTGTATTGCCTATCCAAGCAGGTAGGAATAGACACTGAGTCTGTGGTTTGTGGGGATGTAGTAACTAGCTTGTTATGAAGTTTTCATCAGATGCCTAATTAGATCATCCAGTTTGGCCTGTTTCTCATTCAATATCAAAGACCACCTCATCAACCACTGTGGGGACGACATTATGTTGTTAGGAAGAAAAAATTATGTCCACCTAACACTAGAACTTTTTCCAGAGTTATTCTGGAACTTCACTTGTGTCTTTGGTGGATGCGGGGAAGTAAACCCCCAGCTCCTCTGGCGATTGAAAGCAAGCCTTTAGCGAAGAGATATCAGTATAAGATTATCTTCAATTAGCTACATATACACTTTGTTGACTTGGTTGATTTATTTCGTTTGTTCAAGATTACAAACTTTTCTTGGGATTACTTGTCAGACTGGTCTTTGCTATGATCAATGCTTCTTGTTGCGTTGATTAGTCCACTGTGTCTCGTTAATCCTCTTAGTCTGATGGATAGAATATAAGATCTCCCCCAAGCTAAGAACCATAAAATTTATTTGAACAAACTAGAAACCTTGATGAAGGTACAAGTTCAATTATTCAACCGTCAACTATAAAACAAACACTCTCGAGGTTTACACACAAGATGATGGCAATATTTCAATCAAAGCAAAATGCTAAAAAGAAAAACACACAAGAGCAAACTTCAGCTGCAAAGTAAATGATGTCAATTGTCACCTGATCACATAGTGACGAAAGCATTTTTCAAACACTCTCGAGGTTTACACAAAGCTTCCAATGGCTTAGCTTTTGGTGTGGTTAGCCCTTGTCCTTCTGACATGTCCAATAACTCTTGGCCAATCCGCTCCCACTCAAAGCATTGAATCAAAGCAGCCAAACCCACGCTCACGACCCGATTTGCAAGCCCAGATCCAGGGCACGACCTTCTTCCCATACCAAAGGGAAGTAATTTGTAAGGCTCCACCTCCACCCCTTCATGCCTCTCAGGATAAAATGCCATAGGATCTTTCCATATCGTTGGATCTCTATGAATAGCCCATGCATTAACAAGCAACATTGTCCCCTTAGAAATGTGGTAACCTCCAACGACACAATCCTCAGAGGACTGGTGCGGTACTAATGTTGGTGTCACCGGATGTAGACGAAACGTTTCATTTATGATGCATTGAAGGTACGGAAGTTTAGGACAATCAGATTCATCTACAATTCGGTTGTTGCCCACTACACTGTCTATCTCTGCTCTAGCTTTGCTGAGGACTTTCGGGTGGTTGAGTAAGAGTGACATGGCCCATTCTATCGTTGCCGCTGAAGTGTCTGTCCCTGCAAGTATCATTGTCTACAAAGACGAAACTATTTAAATTTAAAACGTTCTTTTTAATGTTTTGAAGTAAATATGGGTTCCAATTTAAATATAGACCATAGTAGAATAAATAGTTCAGTTCAATAATTCACATTTTAATCTAAACTAAAAACAACTACTCATGAAATTTTTAAAAGATAATTAAACAATTATTACAATTCATCATGACAGATTTTTAACAGGTAATATATAATTTAATCATGTCACTAATGAAGCACCCTCAAATCCTTGCTCAAGCTTTATCCTTTATTAGGATGAATAGCTTTGAAAAACTATAAATGAAATTTTTAATTAATTATTCAGTATTTTCCCATAATACAAAAATAAGATGGATGATGAATAAAAGAAATATTATTGAGATAATTAGGATTAATTATCTTAATAGATGATATTTTAATTATGTGAGTAATTATCTCCCTAATTTTATTCCCAAAGAAAGAGGGAATATTTTGGGTTTTCTGCTCCTATAAATAGCAGACCCCCCAGACCCTCTAAACACACCTCAGAGAGCAGAAACACGAGAAAGAGGATGAGTTCATAGAGTTCCGGTTTTCGCACAAAACCGATGATCAACAAAATTAGAGTGACTGTTTTTATCCTGGAGGCGACCGGCTGATAGTATGTCGTGTGCAATGAAGACAGTGCGGGGAACGTCTTAAAGAGAGCGACCTAGTCCGCCACTCAACCAGATCGGTAACCCTATTTTTCATGTTCGGTTTATATCACGCTTAGCATACAAATTGCATGGCGCGCGGATGATCATAATTAAGAATCGCTTACCATGACGTGGCCTTTGATAGTTTCGTCGGAGTAGGTCTCAGGTTCGAATTCCTGCAAGCTCAAGAACGTGTCGATCATAGTCTTCCTCCCCGTATCATCATCCCTCTGTACACCGCCGTTTCGATTCTCATCAATCAAGCCTTGGAAGAAAGCATCGGTCCTCGCCTGAGTCTCCCGCATCCTCTTCTCCAGCCCGCTGAAATCGACCCACCTCAACGCCGGCAAGAAATCGACCGGATTCGACGTCCCACTCAGCTCGAACACGTCTCTTATCAACTCCTTAAACCTCTCGCCTTCCTCACGACCTTCTTTCCCTTCCTCGCCAAAATATCTCTTCCCGGCAACCATCCTCATCACCATGTTCATCGACAAACCCACCAGCCTCGACTTCACCTCCACCTTGCGGAAACCCGACACGTCAGCGGCGTTGACGAGTTCCCTGACGAAGCGCGTGACCTCGTCGCGGCGGATGTGGAGGAAGGAGTTGAGGCGGGCGGTGGAGAGGAGCTCGACGGTGGAGAGGCGGCGGAGGTTGCGCCAGTGTGGGCCGTAAGGTGACGCGCCCATGGTGGTGTAGTTGTAGCCGATGATCTTCCAGCCCACGAAGTTGTTGGGCCGGTTGGCGAAGACGACGTCGTTTTTGTTGAGGCACTCCTCGGCTAGAGATGGGGACGAAACGACGATCGCGTTTCGGACTCCTAAAGTGAGAGACATGATGGGGCCGTACTTGTTTGAAAGGGTTTGTAACGTTCTGTGGACGGGCTGTTTCAGGAGATGGAGGTGGCCGATGAAGGGGAGCGACGGCGGGCTCGGCGGGAGGTTTCTACGACGTCGTTTCGCTTCCGAGGATTTCGTTAGGAGGAGCTTGGAAATGACGAGGACTAGGAAGATTGTGGGGAGGAAGTAGAGAGCCATGGTTCCCTCCATCATCCGACGATTTTGTTTAGAGAAGCTGTAAGGCTTTGTTACGTTGTGTGTAGCTTTTTATAGTGGTGTTGTGCTGTGAATGATGCCCGTCAATTAATGACGACGTGAAAGAAGATTTTGTATCTAGCTACCTTGGAGGCCGAGAGTGTAATTAACGTCATATTATTGTAATAAAGTAATTGATGGTAACTAGCTGATGTCAACATGTACAGCCTTGTATTTTTCTCGACGGATGTTTAGTGTGTCATTGTCCGTCCGTTTGCCGTCCTTCGATTCTCCATCTCACACTTTTATTTCCGAAGGGATGATGTCTGTTCCGACTCCACGGATATGCATTATCTACAGCACAATTATAGTTACACCGGGAGATAATGACAAACAAAAGAAAATCAAACGGTATGTGTTTCGCGGCCGATACTCTGCGCGCTGTTATTAAATGATTTTTTTCAAAAATAGCACTCAATTCCGAAAAATTTCAAAAATAGCACCTTTTGCGAAAACCTTCATCCGAGAGCGTGATTTTGGTTGAAAATCACAAGGGTAGGGGACGGTTTTGCTGACCGCGTGGGACCGGGGCGGTTTGGTTGCAAACAGTACCCCACCCAGGGACGGAGCCAGCTTGTTGGCAGGGGGCTATGACCCCCTAAGATTTAAAATAACGTATGATGAGACCCAAATAAATAAAACAGGGAACAAAACTTATGTAAAAATTAATAGAGGGGCATATTTGATAAAACCACATAATAAAGGACATATTATACCTATAACCCTTTTAAATTTTGCAAGGAAACCACTCATCATTATGGTAATCTTAATTACATTTGATGCAAGAAATATAGCAAGAAAACTCCCTAATCATAGTAGTAACCTTAATAATTACATTTGAATGTGATGCAAGAAAATGTTTGATCTAATCCATAAATTATATAATTTTTCTTAATTTTTTGAATTTAAATCGTCGTTATTAGAAAAAAATTAAATAAGTAATTGTGTTCTAGTGTTTTTCAAGATTCTGATGAAATATTTTCTTCATGAATTTACAGAATGTTGTACTAAATTGATTTCAAATTTTGATTTCATTGCATGTCCTTGTGACGATAATTGTTTTGATTGCAATAAAAGGTCGTATCTTCTCCATGAATTATTAATCGCCAATTTGTTTCGTAGTGAAATCATCGATTATTTGTGTAAATCTACGAAAAAAATTCATCAACTTAATTTTGTTCTTCATTATGTCATTAAAAAAAAGGGGGAAAAAATTTATCGCCCCCCCCCCCCTAATTTCAAATCCTAGCTCCGTCCCTGCCCCCACCCGGCGATGTGTATTATATATTTTGTATTTCGAATAAATGTCATAAGTGGTCTTGGCACAACTGGTTTAGCTGTTTGTTGTGTGCAAAAAGTTCTAGGTTTGAACCTCATCATCCCATATTAAATCTTTTCATTTAGTAGAAATTAAAACAAGCCACATGTTGTGGGGATGGTGGTTCAAACCCAGATATAATAAATAGTTAACTAAATTTAGGAAAACATCTACACCACCAAACTGCAACTCTTCTTTTGAAACAATAATATATTGACAAAGTTTTATTCGTTGAACGCTAAAAATCGTCAATAATTTTGAACAACCAAAACTTTGTGCTCCAAAATCCGAAAGTCATGAATTTTTTTTTCATTTTGCATAACTTTTTAAGGACTACAATTTTTACCTTGAATGAATTTTCAAAATAGGAATTATTTTTGGATATACAGGATTTTGGGAATAACTTACCTTCCCTTTTCTCAAATCCACGTACATTCCGAAATTATGTCTATGATAAAGGTTGTAGTCCTTAAAAAATTATGCGAAATGAAAAAAAATTCATGACGTTCGGATTTTTTAGCACAAAGTTATGGTTGTCCAAAGTTTGATGAAATCAGAAAAAAGCTCGTTCGGGGTAGCAAACGACATTTTTTCGGGACGGAGGCGGGACATTTGGTGGTTTGCGGCTTGCAACATCTGAAAAAATTATGCGAAATAAAAAAAAATCGCTACGATTGGATACCCGAACAAAAAAATACGTTCGTTTGAAGTTTCCACCTAGGTTAGGATTTTTCAAAAAAAACAATTATGGACCAAACCGGTCCGACCGCATGTGGTCATGAAAATCGCCCCCTACCAGTGCGGTTTTCGTGTAAACCGCTGGTTCTGGTGGCGGTTTTTGGGAGAGGGTGCTATTTTTGAAATTTTTCGGGGTTGGGTGCTATTTTTTTATTTTTTTTTAAACAGTGCTATTTCTGGGGGAAAAACCGATTGATTGCGCCTCTTATCTTATGAAAATCAAGATGATTGATCGTTTCTCGATTCCTATATATAGTAACTTTGCATGATATAGAATTTCTGCAGTTCATGATTGTCTCAGAACCGCGTTGCTCCACCTCCATGGTCAAACGTCTGAGGTGTTACCACTCAAGTTTAAAAGGATCCACAAATTGATTTTGGTTTGGCGATGGAATTGGTGTAGTTCAAAGTCCACCAAAATATATGAAGCTCCTTTGCATAGAACCGACGGCCGATATTCCTAGCACCTATGACCTGACAAGCACTGAAAAGAATATGTGTAACAGAAAAATAGCGTGCACAAATGTCATTGTACTTGGATATGCCCCATCTAGCATAAGTTTTCGTGGCCTCTAGATGCTAACCTTCTTCCTCAAATGCGTGGCTCGGTTGCTCTAATGAGAAGGCGACTTGGGGAGTTGTGAAGCTCCGTCACAAGTTCCGCAAACCGATTCTTAATAAAGTTATGGTTCTTGTAAAAAATAGTGCCCCCCGCCCCTCGAGAAGAATTAATGAATTTCTTCAACAATGCGTGAGTGAGTGGACTCATCCATGTTTGTACGTGTGTTCCCAAGATAGAACACGTCCTTCATATAACATGTTGTCCACTTTCTCTTATTTGGTATCCACTCTCTATGCACATAAGCTACAATATCACCATTCTGCAGCCCTCAAACACCTCCAAAATCTGCCAATTTTGCATGCAATCCTTGAGTCGCCCAACAAGCAAGGACATTCTTATGATACGATATGCCTTGATCCGCCAACTCCTTTTTTGAGATCCTCTCCAATATACTCAATTTCGCCTTCACGTGTTTGTTGATAGACACAAACATAGTCGCATTTCTACCTCGAGAAGGCCGAAGGAATGAAACCAAGTAGATCGCCTTCTTTGTCTGTCGCAATGACATTTGGCACACAAGGTCCAAGAAACCATTGCACACAACTAAACATATACTCATACGACTCCAATGTTTCCTTTTTAAAAGTGCACAAGCTATATTGAAACTCTTTCCCATGGGAGTAAACCCGATGATATCAATGCACGACATGTTGTACCTAGTCTTGTAGGTGAAGTCTATGAGGAGGACAATCATGCAACATATGAATGGAAGTCGGGTAGGAAAAGAACATGTGGGTGAGCACATCGTTGTCATCTCTTAGAAGTTGAATATAGGAATTCATCTCATTATCTCCTTGAAGCGCATAATGGATCACATCCATTTTGCCCACGTCATCAAATCTTGTATTGGTGTTCAAATTGTAAAAATATATGATGCCATGTTGGACACCCTTTATATCATTGAGTGTCTTTTAGTTATGAGTCGGTTTCACCATGCCTTCTTCATCCCTCTTTGTATAACTTTATCCTTTTCACTGAATTGTTAGTCATATTGTTGAAATTAAACAACATTCTCGTGGTTTGAAATCCATAATTCTTCTCGGTTGCATTCGATCTCACCTCCTCTAAAACAAATATGTTTGGACCTCAACTTTGCTACACTTCTTTAATTCTCACTTGGAACTGTTGGGAAAAGAGTCTTCCACTTTTTCTCTCTTCTGCCAAAAAGGTGATAGCCAAGGTAAATCCCTCTAATTGTTACTTCTTGATTTAGTTGTTAATATGTGATAAGAGGATCTCCTAAATCAAAGAAAGATCAAAAGAAGACCGTTACACCAACACGAAGTATAAGTCGTAGGATGCAACAAAACAAAACTCACGGAATGTGGCAAAGCAATACTAGTAAGATTAAACACTCTATGATTAGCAATACGTGTAAGAAATTATAGATTTTCATTATCTGTATTGTTTGAGTGTTTGTGAGCAATGCAGTCAAAATCGCGCTTTAAAACTTAAAAACTTACGGTTTTACGCTTTTAGGATACCAAATCGCTTTCGTTTCCATATAAAATCTTAAGTGTATAAAATCGGGACTAAAATGCGCTTTAAAGCATAAAAGCTTACGCTTTTACGCTTCTGGTTCACTAAAACGCTTTATGCTTTTACGCTTCTAGTTCACTAAAAGAGTATTCTATTCATGAAAATACTTATATTTTAAAGATAAATCACATAAAATATGATATATTTGAGATTAAAAGATACATATCAAGTACTTGGGTGCATTCTTAGTTTCAATAGAGTAATCTAATTCACCAGCTATGCCTTCCCAAATTCACTAGCATAGAGGGGAATGTAGCTTATTGTTAAGATATATGTTTATGAATTTATTGTTAAAATGTTATGAGTTTCTCAACTTTAGACATGAATTCCAAGTATTTATTAACTTATCTAAACTATGTCCACTCATATTTTATCGTACTTAACACATTTTTCGTTATATTAAAGTATGCGTCAAAAACTTACGTTTTTACGCTTTAATTCTACGCTTTACGATTTTACCCATTTTCCGCTTCTAAGTAGAATCGCGATTTTGACTGCATTGTTTGTGAGGTTGTGTAGTTTCTTTCTTTAGCGTGAGTGCTTGTGAGGAAGAGAGAAAGAGACATATTGCTCTATTTAATGGTTTGAGTTCTACTCAAAGGGCTCAACTTAGAGTTATATCATAATAAGAAAAAAATCTAGACACTAGGTCTCAAGGGGTGAGCCACTTTTGAGTTGAGACATAAGCAATAGGCTTAACTCGGTTCACAAAAATTCCTATATATGTATTACTTTCTTACTCTCCTCCATCTTGTATTTTCTTCTCATCAAGTACACGACTTGCTAGTCTAAGGTTGAAGACGACTAGTAAAAGGTCAGAGCCCATCTTGTTAAACTCTTGGGATTTAGAAACAGGTCAAGCCCAATATACAAGTCCAGACAACCGATCCATAATCAATTATATTTTATCTATCTTATTTATAGCTTATTTGTGTATTACATGTGTTCCAAAATTGGTACCAGAGTAGTTCTCTCGCTAGGAACACAAGTTCATCAACAAGAATAATGAGTTACCTCCCTCGAATCACGCAAGCTGAAGGACACTCTATAACAAGACCACCCAAACTCTATGGCAGCAGCTATGCCATTTGGAAAGGTTGCATAGAAGACTTCCTATAAGCCTATGACATGAAGGTGAAACAATAAGATCAAGGTCGGAAATTTGTGCTCAAGCCTTTGTCTCCAGCTGAAGTTCGAGAAGATCAACAATAGATGGAGCTGAATTGGGCAAAAGAGAAGGGTGAGTCGGGTGGTTCAAAAAGGGAGTAAGGGGTTAACGCTAATTTGGTAACCTGACGTTGCTTGTTAAAGGGGGTAAAATGAATCAAAACTCCAAAGGACACCGAGTTCAAAGACTCTGTTTTTCCTCGACGGAACATAATTCTAGCTTTGAGCGCTCCGTCGTTAAGCTAGGGGACGATTCGAATGTTGTCACCACCTGGAACGAGTTTCTGGGAGGTCAATGAATGATTCCCCTCACAACAGTACATACCAGACGGAAATTAAAATGCCCAAATTAGAGTTCGACAATCCAGAGTTGGGAAAATTTAAATTCGGATTTGGCGGGAAAACTTCAAGGGTTGTGTCGACGTGTATCAGGGATAGTCGACGATCACGATAGATGGGGGGAGCTCAGTTCAAGGGAAGAATGAGTTAGATCGTGCCATGAATTGGGGAATCCAGGCTTGATTTACATGAATTCAAAATTTTTGGATCTTCAAGAGTTCGACGTGAAACTGCGTATCTGTAGTTCTTTATCGATTTTGGATTTACGTTCGATCATTTTCATTAATGAGACAGGTCCATATAGTGTTGCAAACTACGATTTGGCAATGAAGGACACTCGTAGATGTTTGTTTGCAAGAAAAAGTGAAGGCCTTGTGGTCAAAGTTGAGCATGGAAAGTCAAGCTTCATCGATCCTTTTTGGATCGATTCTGCTTTAGGATTTGGTTGCACCAGTCTTCAAGCTTTGGGGACAAACTTTTCCCGATTGGAGGGATTGATGCAAACATTCAAGTTACCAAATACCCAATTTGTTTAAGTTTCAATGACTTGCAGAAATTGTTGAAGAATAAAGTGTTGAATTTGTTTAAGTATGGAAACCGAGTAATGATACCTACTTTTGGGGCTTATATCTTCATGTTTAAATATGGAATCCGAGTTATGATACCTACTTTTGGGGCTTATATCTTCATCTTGGAAGATATTCGAGTGGAGTTATGCAATGGTTGTCATAGTGCAAGTCCTGTTAAAGATACTAAAGGAGTTGGATGAGAATAATGGAGTTTGGAGGACATCAAACTAGGAGCTTGAAGATCGTACATAAGCTGACTCTTTTCGTGCGCAGGATGTTACTTTCCTTGAGCTAAAAGAAACAGCATGTTGAGGACTTTCTTACCTGTTAGTGATAGGATTTGTTTACCCTTTTCAATGTCCTAGTTAGTCTAGTTTTCCTTATAATTTTTGTCGAGTAATTCGTAGAGTTCATAGGTATTTAAAGACTTAAACCGAGTTGTAATGGGCATTAGGATGAAATTGAACCTTGTTCATTAAGCTTCACTTGTTCTTGTTGTTGGTGGATTCCAATCACACGAGTGGCCTTTGTATCGATCGAGTTTTCCCCTCGATCGTGGTCATGCAACTACCCATATTGGTAGAGCCTTCTCTCAGGTGTGAGATTGCACTCAATTCCGTTTTATCTTAGCCAAATAGCTTGGTTATTTGGTTGTTCTTTGTTCGAGCTTTATCGATCAATCAAATCCTTGATTGATTGGGTAAGGTTGTGCAATTCTGATACTTTAATCTCCCTTGAGATCATATCAATAGCACATCTTTGACTGGCGATGCCGATTCTTGAGTTGAGGCCTAAATAACAAAGCTTGCACTGTCTTTTCGCACTTAGGCGGCTCTTCACCACCTAGGGCTCTGAAGGGCATCCACGAGTGAAAAAGAAAAAGATTGGAAATTCAAATAAAAAATTTACCGCTTAATTTGTCACGACATCTTTTGGTGCAACGAGAGTAGAGCCTGAGAAAATCTAAGGTGTGGAGATATCGCTCCTATCTTTCGACCACGGGGTGTCAACTAATCCACCGGTACGGTGAAGCAGTCAAAGGCGGCTCGTACATTCCTTGGTGAAAACCTCTTTCTCAATGCCCGAACATGCACTTTTTTATACAATATTGTAGAATTCTAACCAAATAAAAGTCAATGGCAGTCATTAGTCCTGGAACATCTGCTCGTCAATCATTCTTTCAATCTCCCTACCCACAATCGAAGGGAGCCGTGAAGACTCCGGACCATTTTAACAAACTGACGTGATGAGTTAATATCCGTGTATTCAAGAAAAGGATACGGTACTGAGGATCATAGTGCGTAGGGGAATGAATTTTTTATTAAGTTCGCAGTGAAAATGTTACTTGTGAAACTGGAGCGGAGTCAGTAAATAGAATAAGATTGGAAAGCATTGCCTAGGGACCGGAAGGAGAGAGAGGACGTGGGGACTCGGGTTAGGGCGCAACCTAACTAAGAGAGCCATTGGAGTCATTCCTATTCTCTAGGATTGGTGCGGCGAATCAGCCACTAGAGGCGAAATAGCCTTGTTTGGTTCATCATTACACATTCATATATAGAGTTGTATCCCTGGTCATCGTTTTTCAAACCTGTACTATCTCTAGTTCGGGTAGTTCGGTGTGAGGCTTGACTTTCTTCGGGCGCATATGTGCTAAATTTATCAGGAATTTGTTCCGCAATTCTCGCTATTTCTCTCAAATGAGTTTCGATGTTTGGTCTTTATTGCTCATCATCATCATGTCGCTCTCTACCAAAGCTTACTTATGGGCAAAAAGGGGTTCTACATAATCATCCCTTTGAAAAAGCGAGGCTTTCCCAAAGATCTCGAATCCTGGTCAAAAGTAAGCACAAAATATCAAACAATAGTGGCGAATCAGGTCGTTTCCGGTTAAGAGAGGTGAAAGGTACTGTAAGTGGATATAGTAGCCAGTATAATAGCGCTAACTAGATAATGTGCCTTATTAGGATTAGTTTAATTATGTTGCTCCCATGTGAAGAGTACCGGTTGGCAATGAATATGAATCCTTAAAATATAGGATTAAGCCCTAAACATAGTCAAACAATACAATCTCAAGTGAATTCCTCATTCTAAACTTCAAACACTCAATCCATCTAAATCATCATCCCCACACATAATCCATTTACACTCTCATTCATACATTCATACATCACACATTCAATACCACTCATTCACATTAATTCAAGCATTAGTGTATAAACCCACATTTAGGGAACACATTCTCCCCAATGGAAACCACAAGAGGTTTCCATTTGATCTAAGAAATATATTCAAACGACAAACACGAAAGAATTCACAAGAGAGATAGGTTATTCAACACAAAACATAAACCAAGTATAGAATTGAAATAGATATCTACTAAGTATGACTTACTACTAATTTCAAATTTAAGGAACAATTATTAAACATAGTTTAAAAGTCAAAGGAAAGAAATGGAGGAAGAGAAAAGAAATGAAAATAAAGGGGTAGAAAGCTTCCCTTCCCTTCCCTTGCCATTCCATCACTCTTCCTTTTCTTACTCATGCTCGGAGACATCCTCGCCATCAAAGATATAATGATGTGAATAGCCTATCAACATCATGGATATGATGGGATTGGCCTCTAAAGAGAGGGCATAGTTCTTCTCAAAATGACCCCCATGATTTTCAAGATTCCATGTTGATCATACTTTGAGCAAAACATCTTTCATGCACTCACGAGTTTTATACAAAGCTACCAGAGGCTCAACCTTAGGCATTGTCAATCCCTTCCCTTCTGTCATGTCTAATAACTCTTCACTCGTCCTTCTCCACTCGAAGCATTGAATCAACACACCCAACACCGAACTCACAACTCTATTCGCAAGCCCGATACCAGGACATGATCTTCTTCCAATGCCGAAGGGTAACAATTTGTACGCATCCACCTCCATTCCTTCATGCCTCTCGGGCCAAAATGTGGTCGGGTCAACCCACACACTAGGATCCCTTTGAATAGCCCATGCATTTGCCAATAACATTGTTCCTTTAGGAATGTGATAGCCACCAATGGTGCAGTCTTCTGAAGAGTAGTGTGGTACCAGCAGAGGTGCTGCTGGGTACAACCGAAGTGTCTCATTGATGATGCTTTGGAGGTAAGGAAGTTTAGAGCAATCTGCTTCTTCGATTAATCTATTCTTCCCAACGACATCATCCAACTCAATTCTTGCCTTATTAAGAATCTTTGGGTGATTGAGTAAGAGTGTCATTGCCCATTCCATCGTTACTGCAGATGTATCTGTGCCAGCACTTATCATGGTCTGCATACACAATTTAAATGCAATTTAAATGTTGGAAATAAATATTCACTTTTAAACTTTCACCTTCTTAAATCAAATATAATGATTAGTAATGCTATAACACTCGCTCATATACTTGCAAAACAAATTCAAACAAATTTGTAGAATTTTATAACAACTGTCATATCACGATATTATCATTATGATAATACTACGATATCAAAATAATAGGATGGCGCTGTCCGTCTTACCATAATGTTAAGATCATAGTGAGAAAGTAGTAAAATAATTTTATGCAATCTTATCATAGTTGTATGATGTTGGTATGGTAGTGGTGAGATGATATGAAGTATTATCTTTGATAAAACAAAATTGATGTAATCGATACCATTATCATATCTTGATATCATCATAGTTATAGTACATGATATTACAATTATATAATATTATTATCTATTTGATTATGGTGATAAGATGGTATTATAAAGTCTTACAATAAATTGTCAAAAAATGTCTTACAATGACGGTATGATGTTGGTATGAAAGTGGTAAGATAATATGAAGTCTTATCTTGGAGGAAAATTTTGATATCATTATAATATTATCATTGTGATAATATCATGTATGATAGTAATATGATGGTATTATCACCATATTGGCCACATACATACATATAGATCTCACAGAAATTGTTCATTAACTAAGATCTATACAATTATATCAATTTTTTATATTTTAAGAAAATAAAAATTAATTCTTCAAAACACGTGTTGGTTGTATTATTATCACTGTCATGACATGATCTTACCATGATAAGACCGATTGCTCATACCACTATCATATCACAATATTAAGTATCACTATGTTATTCTGATTTTTTTATGGACACTTGTTATTATGATAATATCATGATATGACAGTGATATGATGTCATCACATTATTTTCTCAAACGTAAGATTCATAGCAACATCTTATCATAATATCATCACTATACCATAGTGATAATATCATCATACGAGAGGATAGGATGTCATCAAACATAAAATCTCATACCAACATCTTATTGCTATCATATACCCGATGCAGTTAAAAGTGTGATTCTACCTAGAAGCGGAAAATGGGTAAAATCGTAAAACGTAGAATTAAAGCCTAAAAGCGTAAGTTTTTTACACACCCTCTAAAATAGGTAAAATATGTTAAGTACAACATATAGTATATAGAATGTGAGTATGTAGATTTTAGATAAGTGAATAACTACATGAAATTCATAATTAATATGTAATATCTAACACATAAACTAATTTGTGTTGACTCAAAAGTAGAGAAAACTCATAATATCATAATAATAAGCTCATAAACATAGATCGTAACCCGTAAACGAGCTTGAGAATCCAAATCCTCATAAGCTGGTTTGAGTTTACTTAATTACATATGATCAATTACCCATAAATTTTATCGAAACCCAGGTAAGAGCCACAGGTGAAGATTAAGGGAGAAGACTGATAGAAGATCAGCGACTGTTGAGAATACCATTAGGTGTCTTTTCAACCTAATGTGAAGCCCCTATCTCGACACTAGTTGTAGAACGAGTGATGAATCATGTTTTCCTTTTTTTTTTTTTGCTAATATGTCTCCAAAATTACATCATTTTGGGCCAATTAGCACATTTTTATGAGATGATCAAACTCGTATAAAAACGCTTCAGAATCGCGGTTTTACCGATTTTAAGCGATTTTACCGATTTTGCCCATGTTTTTACCAGTTTTTGTGACTAAGCGACTTTAGGTAGAAACTGAAACGTTTTGGTGGCCTGGATACGTAAAAACGTAAGTTTTTACGTTTTAATGCACGATTTTGACTGCACTTCATACCAATATCATATCAATATCATACCAGTATGATATTAAACCACTGTCGGTGGTAATATCATGATATACTAGGGCTGCAAATGAGCTGGGCTGCTCGCTTGGCGTTCGACTCGGGAAAGGCTCGTTCGAGACTCCACTTGTTTATTAACGAGCGGAGCATGAGCTATGCCTCGTGAAGCTCCCGAGCTAGCTCGACTCGATGGCTTGTTGAGCTAAACTATCGAGCTGGCTCGTTTATAGCTCATAATGAGATTTTCACATTGTGTCTAGAGAGCCAACTTGATTACCGACTTAGGGGCGAATCGATCTATATCTTATGAGTTTAATTCATATGACTGTTAAATTTATTTATATATCTCACCCTATTATTATTATTATTATTATTTTTATCATGATATCAATCACATGTATCATACATGACATTCAAAACGAAGTATCAAATACAACTCAAGATTTTACTAAACAAGCCTAGCTCGAGCTCGACTCGGCTCGGCTCATTAATAAATGGCTCGAGCTCAGCTCGTTTAATAACGAGCCAAGCTCAAGCTGGGGTAAAAATCGGCTAGACTCGGCTCATTTGCAGCCCTAGACAGTAGTATTATGACGTGGAAATGTTTTGTTAAAAATGGATATCAGCTTGTGGAGCAAAAAAAAAATAATATTTATACAAAAACAATTAATCCGAAGTAAAATGAATCGTTTGTTGAAAATTTGTAAGAGATTTGAAAAGTGCATTAAATGTGGGTTACTTATCGCGTCATCCTCCAAAAATTCGGTCAACTCTCTCCCCAAACTTCTACTTTCCCTCCTTACCCCTTTACAAAGATGGTCATTAGATCACTTCTCTCTCAATCTCAACCATCCATTATGATTTTGTAACCTAACTGAAGTCAATCAACTGTTATATAATCAATAAGATTCAACTATGTATTTTATTTTTTAATGCAAGTTAATCATATATTTATGTAAAAAATATTATACTATGCACATAGCTGTATTTACATAACTCACACCAACTGATCAAAGATATTTGTTCACGCAATTTATAAGTCCTTTCTTATTACGTGATTGTTGCATAATCAAGGACTACTTTAATCATATATAAGAGTTATTGTCCACTGTTTTATTTAAAAAATCTAGTTTAATTTCTACTGTTTTTTATTTATTTTTGCAAGTAATACCAAGAACTTTTTCCATTCAAAAATTTTGGTATACCAATCAATCATGCAATGCAAGAGTATCTATTAGACAGCGTGACTAATTGGCAAAAAAACAAATGTGTACCAATAATTAAAGAATATATACAGTTGTACTTACAATGACGTGTCCTTTGATAATATCGTCGGTATAAGTTTGTGGTTCAGATTCCTGCAAATCCAAAAACGTATCCATCATCGTCTTCTGCCCGGAGCTCCGCCGGCTACTCCTATCACTCCGACGCTCGTCAATCAAACCTTGCAAGACGGAGTCAACTTCCCCCTGAACTCTCCGCATCCTCTTCTCCACCCCGCCGTAATCAATCCACCTCAGCACCGGCAAGAAATCCCCCGGATTCGAAGCCCCGCTCAGCTCAAAACTCTCCCTTATCACCTCCAGAAACCTCCGGCCGCCGTCCTCCTCCTCCGACTCAAAATACCTCTTCCCGACCACCATCCTCGTCACTACGTTCATCGAAAGAGCCGAAAGCCTCGACTTCATCTCGACCTCGCCGAAAGAAGTACCCGAAACCTTACGAAAAAGGTCGCGGGCTAGGAGCCTGACCTCGTCGCGGCGGAGCGCGGCGGAGGAGTTGAGGCGGGCGGTGGAGAGGAGCTCGACGGTGGAGATGCGGCGGAGGTTGCGCCAGTGCGGGCCGTACGGGGACACGCCGACGGTGGTGTTGTTGTAGTCGAAGATTCTGCCTGATAACAGGTTTGGCCTGTTTGCGAAGACGAGGTCGTTTTCGTGGAAGCATTCTTTGGCTAGCGACGGGGAGGAGACGACGACGACGTTTTGGAAGCCGAGGGAGAGGAGGTAGATTGGGCCGTACTGTTGGGAGAGGTTTTGTAAGGTTCTGTGGATTGGCTCCTTCAGGAGGTGGAGATGGCCGATGATGGGTAGCGAAGGCGGGCTTGGCGGGAGGTCGGTGCGACGCCGTTTATTTAGCTTGGAAATGATGGCCAAGAGGAAGAGGATTGTTGGGAGGAGGTAGTAGTAGTAGGCCGTCGCCATTGTTGGTGATTTTCGGGATGATATATATGTGGAGTTTGGGTTTGTTTTATAGTGGAAAGATTGTAGGTGGGAAATGGTATTGCTAGGTTTTGTTTGTATAAATCAAAGAGCGAATAATGGGGAAAAAATCACAAAGTACACACGTTCTTAAAAAAAATTCCCAAAATACATAAGTTATAAAAAAAATTCCAAAACTACACATGTTTGAGCATCACCGTTTTTGACAAAGGCGGTGAAGATAATCACCGCGTCTGTCAAAGACGGTGAACATTTCACCGTTTAAAACCAAAACGGTGACGTATTCACCGCTTTTATCTAAAACGGTGATGTATTCACCGCGTTTGTTGATGACGGTGAATACATCACCGTTTTTGCTGACAACGGTGATTACCTTCACCGTTTTTGCTGACAACGGTGATTACCTTCCCACGTTTCCCACCCCTGGTAGGTGGGAATTAGGTCACACCTACCTATTATTCACCGTTTGAGACAAACGCGGTGATGTTGTTCACCGTTTTTGACAAAAACGGTGAATAATAGGCAGATTTTCCTATAAATACCAACCCACCAGCAGAAGCAAAAACATAACCACTCCCCCCTTCTTCAAATTTCAGCAACAAAAATCGAGCATAATACACAGAACAGACATTTTCCGGTATGTTGAGACTTTTCGTATTATTGTCTAATTATGTTTTTAGTAGTTATAGTATGATTAAATTTTCGTATTATGTTGTTGTTAGTTAGTTGAATTTATGTTCGTTAGTTATAGTATGATTTAATTTTCGTATTATGTTGTTGTTAGTTAGTTGAATTTATGTTCGTTAGTTATGAGATGGACAATATTAGTTGTACAATATGATTTTGGTTAATTTTACTGTCTTTAAGCTAATATATAATTATCCTCGATTTGTAGATATGGGTAAATTCAAGAAGTTTCATCTTACTATTCGGTGGAATGGAAGGGTGACAAACTCTAACATAGGCATTGATTATGAGGACGGCGAATCCATTATGCTGAACATTGGTTCCCGATTCAATTTTCAAGAACTCTGTGATCTTTGTGCAGAAAGGGTTTGTACGAGCGGACAGACGAGACTTGGCAAAATTACTTACCGGTATCCAGACATGAGTGGTGGCGGGGTCGTGTTCCAAGAAGTTGTCATAAACGATGATGACGCGGTTACGATGATGTTACAGTTCTTAAGCGATAACCAAGTCCGGCTTGCAGAGGTGTATGTTGAGACCGAGGCGGTCAGTGAATCTCATTCTCACCAGTATTCTTATGATGATGGTTTTGCAGGAGGGTACGAATGGGGTGGTAGTTCGAGCAACTACCAAGGCGGTGGTTATACAGGAGGTTACTGGGAGGGTGGTGGTTCAATCAACTACGGTGGATCGAGTAGTGCAGGATGGGACAAATACTCGCAACCTCCTAAACCGGCCCCATTTGTTGAGGCCGATGGTGTTCAATGGCCTGCTTGGGGGCCAGAGTGGTATGGAATCGAGAATACCATTCGATCAGGGCGTACTTCACATGAGCGAGAGGACGATGTTGGTGATCGTGGTCATGTTGATCCTTGTAGCCCGAGCTATCCATTCGAGTCGAGCGACGAGGATACTGAGGAAGATTTGAGATCAGTGAGCGAGGAGGAGGAAGATACTGATGATAACGAGGATGAGGCGGCATTTCGTGAGGCACCCACGCCATATTACACACAGGTTCCAACTCAATTTTTACATAGTCAGAATGATCCCCCCGATTTTGTCCCTATGCCAGTGTACAATCCGACGGCCAATTTGGAGGTGGGTATGGCGTTCCCATCGAAAGACGCTGTGCAGGATGCGTTTACAGAAGAGGCGTTGAGGCGCAATTTCGAGTGGAAGGTAAAATATTCTGACAGTAAACAACTACATGTCATATGCAAGCATGATGCAGAGGGTTGTACTTGGCAACTGCGGGCTGCAAATATGAAGAGAAAGGGTGCTTGGGTGATTCGCAAAGCTGAGACGATCCACACATGCTCCTCTTCTATACTTTCCCAAGATCACAGGCAACTAAAAGCAAAGAAGGTTGGGAGAACTATTAAGCACCTTATAGAAGCACAACCAGATATCAAGGTGAAAGCTATCATGGCAGAGGTGAAGGATCGACATTCTTACACGATAAGGTATAAAAAAGCATGGCATGGTAAGCAGAAAGCCATGGCTGAGGTGTATGGTGATTGGGAGGATTCGTATGCTTTACTCCCTAGACTTATGGGAGCAATGGAGGAGTCCAATCCTGGGACTGTTTTCGTCCCAGTATACAACAATGTATACACTGAGGATCAAGTTCGAGTACAGGATAAGCTGATGTTCCATCGTCTTTTTTGGGCTTTTAAACCATGCATTGACGGATTTGGGTTCTGCATACCGGTTATTCAGGTATTTTACCAACTAGTTCCAGTTTTAAATGTTGTATTATTTGTTGTTTAGTATATTTCATACTAATTATAGTCTTAATTTTTATTCAGGTTGACGGAACTTTCCTTACTGGGAAGTACAAAGGATGTCTTCTAATTGCCACTGGCGTTGATGGAAACAGGCGGATTTTCCCGCTTGCATTTGCATTAGTGGAGGGGGAGAACAGCTTAAGTTGGGCTTGGTTCTTTGACCAACTGCACGAGCACGTGACACAGCGGGAAGATATTACGATCATATCCGATCGACATGCGGGGATAAGGAATGCTGTTGGTGGTTTTCCCGACGAGTGGGGGTGGAGATGGAGATGGTGTATTCGACACTGGCTCGCCAATTTCCAACACAAATTTGGGAAGAAGAAAGACATCAAGAATCTACTTTGGAATGCAGGTACTAATGTTTTACTTATGCGATTTAAGTTTGTGTTTATTAAGCTGATAATCAAAATTTTATTCATCATGTATTGACCAGTTAGTCTTTTGTTCACCTTTTAGCGGTTGCACATCAACCAAAAAAGTACGAGGAGAAGATGAAAACGATCCGTCAGACCCACCGAGCTGGAGCAGTATGGGCTGAAGGTCAAGAGTTGCCCATGTGGACGTTCCATATGGACAACGGGGCCAGATGGGGCATTGCAACTACCAACCATGGAGAAAGTATAAATAATGTGTACAAGGGTCTTCGAGCGATGCCTATTTCTGTCATCGTGGAAATGTCTTATTGGAAGGTCAACGAGTGGCGAGTTGCTCGGCTACAGCAAGCTATAGGGAGGGAGTTGCAAGGGCATTCAATAGCACATGACGTATTCGCTCAAATGCAGAAGAACGATGAAAAATCAAGTAAGCATAAGGTTGTTCTTTTTAACCGCAGTGAAGGAATATTCGCTGTCGAAACAGGTATTTGGGGTGGAGGGAGACGTGGTCACAATCGGCAAACGGTTAAATTGCACTACGAATTAGGGGAGTGTTCTTGTCAAAAGTATCAGAACGAAAGGATACCATGTTCACATGCAATGGCGGTTGCTAAGTCAATAACCATGAACAGAAACAGCCTGGTGAGTCCTTACTACACTGAACAAGCGATACGGAACTCATATAATGCAGCTTTGAGCCCCATGCCAGATGAAGCGTATTGGCCTATATACGCTGGAAAGTTGATTATCCCACCGTTGCACCTAAAACGCACCAAAGGCCGTCCTAGAGTTGAAAGGATACACAATGAGATGGATCAATTTGAACGGACGAGAAGGGGACCGAAGCGATGCTCTAAGTGCAGACAACCTGGTCACGACAAGAGGCGTTGCCCAGGACAACCATCAACTTAATTTGCATTTACTTGTATTCTGCTACTAAATTGATCGCTTGTTTAATTTTTCATTACCGTTTGCATCTGAAGTCTAAGTATTTTGTTGTTTCTAAAATGTTGTCCTTGTCGATACGATCGCGCTACCGCAAACGGCTCGTTATTTCGACCTCAAACGAATAAGATACGCGCGTTTTAGTTTTTAGTACGCAAAAGTTACTTTAACGTTACGTTCCCGCTTTGACGTCACTTATCTCACTCGTTTGGAATCGGAATTGGGATCTGTAAAATTCTATGCGATCGTGGTTGATTTTCCCAACTTTTTCGTGTTGAGGGAAGATACTGATTCTTGATAAAATGATCCAGAAAATTCATTCGATAATTTAAGTGCGTAGGATAGTTTTTAGACAATGCAAACTCAAAATTAAACACCTAAAAAGCACAAGAACAACATGGATAGATCACTACAATGATAAAACGAAAAATTCACTCATTTGCTTCATTTTGGAACCCATCTCCACCTCTTCCTCCTCGTCCTCCACGTCGTCCTCGACCCCTTCTTCCCCCCTCCGCCGCTGCTTCTTGGCGGGCTCGCTCAACCGCTGGTCGCGGATTTCTCTTGACCCGAGCCCCAACTGGGGTTACATATGGTGGTGGTGGTGGTTGAGATGGAGCGGTAGCTTGGCGAATGATCGGAGGTTGCGGAGTTTGTTGTTGCGGAGTCTGATACATGGAACTCTGTTGCTGATGTTGGAATTGAGAGAACCCGTGAGAGAAAGTGTCCCATTCCTGAGATGCTCCACGACTCGATGACCCTCCACCGGCATCCGCTGCAGGTGCCCACTGGTACTCGAACGGTTCGGGTATCTCGGTTTCCCGGGTTGTACGCACCTCTTCGAACGTAGGCAGAGGCCTGCGTTTGCTCCTTCGTGGGGGCTCAACCGGGGGCACAATGGGTGCATCATCACGGAATGAGGGTCGTGCCGGGGCAGGAACGGGAGGATATGCCACGACATCCCTCCTTTGCTCTCTGGTGCAACTCAGGAGGTTGTTCATAAGTCGGGTCAACCAAGTAGTCTTCCGCTCATCCATGGTTGGAGCACTTTCGAGAGTGTACTTGGCGTGTTCCAAACCATCAACCTAAGGAAAGCACCAAATGTATAAAATTAACTAAACTAAACCTTAAAATAAATTCAATTTAAAATGAGGGAGATTAGGATGACTTACCAACGAACCCATCACAGCACCTTGCTTCGACACCCATCTCATGGTGAACTTCCGATACCACTGCATGTACCCATCGTGGTAGCCCATCGGTCTCGTCTCCGGCATCCCTTGCACCACCCATTGGTGTCGATTCTCCCAGATGTTGATGTAGAATCCATGCTTTCGCTGCCAGTTCTTTGACGAATGTCGGAGGTCGATAGCATGTAGCTCCCTGAAACCTGCTGGCGGGTCTTGTGGAATTGGTTGCTCCATTCGATATTGCCTCAGACATCGATCGGGAAGGTGCCATTCCACCATGTGCCAGCAGATTAATGGCACCTTGCACAACCATGTGTCGTGATCCAGCGGGTGCCTAAGATGATGCAGCTCAACCACTTCACGTGGATATGGATCCCATATAACCTATATCCATTCAAAAAATCGAAATTAACTACCATTTACTTTGACAAAATTTAACTTGTTCAAATATGGACAAAACATGATTACCTGATTCCACCATGGTTTATCTAACTCAGAACGATAAAACAGTAACGAATGCTCAGGTTGATGGTCATTCGTATTTGCTCCTATCCACCTTGTAAGTAAAAGTACGGAATCAATTCAATTTAAATCTAGCTAAGCATGTAATCAAAATTTAAATTGAGCTAAGAACGAAATAAACTTACTTGACACCGTATGGGAGATTTTGCAGAAAGTTGAGCTCATCATCGTTTCTCCGGTATGGATGTGGGTCGGCAGGTGCGAACATTGGAAGATGCTCCCATACCCACAGTTGTAGTATGAAAATCGCAGCACCAGCTTGCTTTGCCCCAACCTTCGAGCAAGTACACAGCTCCCGGTATAAGCCCGCTAGCACGGCCGATCCCCAACTCTTTTGCCCGATTGCATCCCAATCACCCGTGAGCAACTCCAACCGTATGCCTTGAATCCACCGGTTGGACTTGTCGGGGAACAAAAATCCACCCACCAAACCGATGAGGTAGATGCGGGCGTAGCGCTCGACTTGTTCTTCCGGTGTCTCGTCATTGATCACAACCTCTTGCTGGATGTGAGACACCAGCCACGGGACCGACACTTGGCCCGCATTCAACGGTGGATGCCCCCGCCCTTGGATTGGAGTGGTGGTCGGCATGTCAAAGCCCAAACGATCACGTATGAGCGGCCCCCAACCTACGTCGGGTTTGGTCTGGTGACCAATGACGGCATCCCCAGAAATAGGCATCCCGGTAAGGATTGCCACGTCTTTGAGGGTGATCGTCATTTCCCCCTCCGGAAGGTGGAACGTATGGGTTTCGGGACGCCATCGTTCCGCCATTGCCGTAAGCAGATCGTTGTCGATTTCGATCCGCAAGAAATGGCGCAACATTCCCAAACCTGTCCTCGCTATATAGGGCTCCAACCTTGGATGCCAAGCGGGCAAGTTATTGGTCCCTTTATGAACCACGGGAACAAGCGATTCCTAAAAAAAATAGGGAAAACAACAATTTATTAGATTAAATAAAGCAAAATAAAACCTTAGAAAATAATAAAATAAAGCAAGAATACTCAAAAAATTACCGGATTGTTATCCCAAATAGCACGGGAGCGATGAGCTACTTGATCGGTTAAGAGACTCGCATCCCTTGGGCCATAATGGATATACAATCGAGGATCGTATATCTCGGCACCCATCTATTAAGAAGTAATGAAATCAGACATTGTTTTGATAAAAATAAAACAAAAAATCATATTATTTCGATTAAAAAAAATTCATAAACAAAAAACCTACACGAAGAGCCTCTTCGTCCATTTTTTGGCGTAGGCCGGACAGAGGTTCGACGAGTTTAGGTTTGAGCGGGACGGGAACTTAGCGGGACGGGGGCTTTAGGGTCAAACTCTAGTAATTCTTTCTGATGTGGAAGATCGGACTTAGCCGCAACCACAGAGCATACTTAGAACGAGACTAGAGCGGATAAATTGAGGGAGAAAGAAGTGAAATGTTTGTGGGGTGAGTTGAAAGTGAAAGGGGAAGGGGGTATTTATAGTTGGGGGAAGGGGGGAAGGGGTCTGCCGAGAATTAAATTCTCCCAGCCTTCACCGCGTCTAACAGAAACGGTGAAGTCACCGCGTTTTTCGAGGACGGTGATAAGGCGCGGATCGAGCGACGTGGCTCAGCGTGAGGCGTCGGATCTGGAAAGAAAACCACGATCCGCGCCTCACCGTATCCAACGGCCACGGTGAACGCGCCAGCGACGCGGATCGCTGACGCAAACAAACACGGGGTATTCACCGTGTTTGTCTAACGCGGTGAATACCCCGCGTTAGTCCACGTCAGCGCCTTCACCGTGGACCATTTAAACGGTGAAGGCCTCACCGTTTTTGCCTAAAACGGTGAAGTATTCACCGTCTGTGTTTAAAATGGTGATTTCTTCACCGTTTTATACAAAAACGGTGAATACTTCACCGTTTTTTTTTAAAACGGTGAAATATTCACCGTGTTTGACAAACGCGGTGATAACCTTCACCGCTTTTGTCAAACACGGTGATGCCCAAACATGTGTAGTTTTGGAATTTTTTTTATAACTTATGTATTTTGGGAATTTTTTTTAAAAACTAGTGTACTTTGGGATTTTTTCCGAATAATGGTAGGTTGTTTTAGGTAGCCGTTGGCTATTTGGTATGGATTTTTCAGTTTGATTCGAAATGGAATGGTATAAATTTGGATTTTTTGAGACCGGGATAGGATGTAAAACAATTTAATTCCGTCTTTGGTGCTAGAAAAAGCTAAAAATTCGGATCAATCCAATCCTTATTAAAATCAGGTCAAAACCGTAAGACCGAATAACTTCTCAAACAACCCAGTATCGGAGCTAGGGTTTGTTTGAATGGATGTTTTTCGATTATGTTGTATCAATCACTTATTTTGTTTATGATGCTTAATGGTCGAATACTTCTGCACTTCTATCGATTCCATTGCGTTATTGTCGGACTGCTTATATTGGATTAGGTTTATAAATAGTTATGCGTCGCTGATTTGATAGTCTTCCTTATTGGCGTGTGTTAATCAAACCCGTCGATCACTGATCTGCTTCATAAAATCGTCATATCAGTGTATTTTATGTTACCTTAAGGTGCGTGATTACACAATCTGGATTATCAAATATCACATTTTTTTTCTTCTTCGCAAAGTTAGTGTTTAAAAGAGAGTCATAAGGAGGAGGAAAGAAAAGCGCGAGAGTCGACCAATAGTCGAACTCCCGATGAGAGGGCCTTTTTGTGCCACATGATGGGCAGCCCTATTGAGTTGACGGGACACAAAACAATAAAAAATATTGTTGAACGATGAAGCCAAGCTCTTAGCATCCGCCAAAATAGCACCTCCTCGATCATGATGCAGATCACCTCCAACCATCCGCCGGATTAATAGTTGAGAGTCCCCATGCAAAAAAACAT